TTCCATTCCTTTTGCCACACGATATATGTTGTCGGGCTCAAGGCGAGTCTGTCATCCTTGTGTTAGCCCGACCTCTTTCTCATTCCAGTGATGCCGACCACAAACCAAATTATCTCATAATCCTTGTCGCATGGCCATGCTTATCCTGGTCGGATCACACGAGGGCCCCAGAGTATATCTCTCCTTATCGGAGGGGCAAATCCCATCTTGCTCGACCATGTCTCGCAGCATGGGTCTGGACAAGCCCGAAACCTACCTTTGTAACTACCCAGTCACGGAGTAGCATTTGGTTGGCCCAAAGCAAGTCTGTTACCATCCCGAGTAAATGCGTCAGCTCAGGTCTTAGGACATAGAACGTATGTTGTACTAGAGACTCACAGATGACATATCGTTGCGTCTCATAGTTGGGTCTGTCCGACTCGGACCTTATCACAACTCGGATCCGACTATGTCGAATCCGACCAGATCCTTCCGAGTCCATATTATCCAGTTAGCATCCAATGCCCCATGGCTAGTGAGACCAAGCCATCGACCGTGTCATATGCTAGTCTAGATGGCTGCGCGTCCACACATCCCTTTCGACTAGGGACCTTTTAGGACGTTCATCATACAATGCATAGTCCCACAAACAAGTCACGTACTTGCTGATACACATCATTGATAATGTCTAAGGACTATCTTTATTCATAAACACATAAAAAATATCATCATACATGATTGCCTCTAGGGCATATCTCCAACACTAGCGACAATGAGGTGAGGCAGCATCGGAGGCGAGGCTACATTACTGAGAAATGGTGGCGTCAGGAGGAGGATAAGGTTGTCGAGCAAGCAAGAACGCCACTCAGCTTAGTGCGGTTGTTGGATTCAGGATAGATGGATAGTCCAGATGGAAGAGTCATTAGCGATACGAGGGACGATCGAATTGATCCATCAGAGCACAGTGGCTTTCCCGAGTGTCTGTTAAAGATCAGATTTTTTATTTTCATTTCTTTCCTTCTTAGGGGACTTCGCCCCTGCACCCCTCGGGTCAAGCCCGTTCAAAGGACTTTGTCCTCCCCCGGTACTACCTATGGATCAAATATCGTCGTTTCATCCATCACTCCTACCCCTCAATGATCGGTGTGCCCTACCACTGAACTTTCAAAACTACATTTCTTCCTCGGAGGTGGTTCGATTTCTAAGCAGCATACATCACAACTTTTATGCAATCATCTAAACTTTTGACCATGGCCTAATGATGTCATATCATGATACCATGCTACGTTTCATGTTTTTCTGTCTTCTTTAGCTATTTTTAGAATTAAATAACCAATAAGCTAAGTGTTGGCGGTTGAGTCTTGACACCGTGATGTTTAAAATCTTCAAAGTGTTTCCTCCAAACTCCCCATGAGAATCATTCAACACAAAAGAGGCCCTTCCAGCGGATGATGGTGCTTGGGTTGAAGGTGAAACCCATTGCAAGTGAAGTGCAGCTGGAGACATAGACCAATGTGCAATTGAAAATATAATCCATCAGTCGCAATAGCCTAACGACAATATTCATCTCTTTAATCAATATCTTGTTACACTTTTTTTCTGTAGATATCTTTTCCTTTTTTTTCCTTTTCTGTAGTAATGCATGATTGTCCACCCCCATCCCAACATCGCCACCGATTTTTTCTCCTTGTGGTTTTTTTGCGGTACTAATACACTCCTCCTCCGCTTATGCTTTTTTTCATGTGAAAATAGGGACCATTGGCCATTGAAATGTATTCTCTGGGCGTCCTGTTCATCATTGAATATCATGGTGCGCAAAACTGTAGCGAGACAATGTTGAGCATGACCTACTTAAATCAACAAAGATCCGAAGAAATGTCAGCGATGTCAGCTACAGTAAGTGGGTGCTGTCAGAAAATGTTAGTAGTTTGACAATAGATTTTGAACAAGTGAATAAGCACTAATGAACGCAAAGATAATTTGTCAGGAAATAAGACACTAAACAAAGACAGAGAACAGAAAGAACGAAGACGCTTCCCGTACGACATTTCATGTCCGATTCCCATCGGACACTCCCATTGCATCGTCAGATTCGTGTCCCACGTCATGGCTCACTATCGTACGAGTATCGGAAGACAAATCGTCAAATGTATATCACTCCTCGGGAAAGGAAGATAGAGAGAGCATGATAGAGATTTAGGGAAACAATAGAGGAAGACCGAGGCTACATAAGCAGTAACAACAAAAAGGGTTCCACTATAATCCTTGAAGCGGCGGCCGATCAAGAGATTTGGATTTGGCATGCATTCTTTGGAATGCCTGGATCTTTGAATTGTTATCCGGTCACCACTGATGAATAAGATTGTAAATGGTGATTTGCCACCGGTGTAGTTTGTAGCAAATGGCCGTACATACAACTATGACTATTAGCGTGTGGATGTCATCTACCCAAAGTGGCAAACATTTGTGAAGCCGTTGAAAAAACCGGAAGGTAAGAAAAATCTTGATTTTCATAATGCTCAAGCGGCGGCTAGAAAAAATGTGGAGAGAGCTTTTGGGATTTTGCAAGCCCAATTTGCTATTGTGAGAGGACCGGCTAGATTTTGGGATCAAAAAATGCTTTGGTACATCATGCACAACATGATCATCGAGAATGAGCGTGATCAAGATGTAGACTACTCTCAGTATGAGCTCTTGGGACATCCCGTGCGAGTGCGACGGAGGGATGAAAGGGTGGCCCGTTTTGTTGCCTCCTATCATGCCATTCGACGTCCTGCAACGCATGATAATCTTTAGAAGGACTTCATTGAAGAGTGGTGGGCATGGACTCGATGACAAAAAACATCATGATTTGTGCGTTTGATGTTGTATTATTGAACTACTTGTTGTGTTATATATTGCACTATTTGTTGTATTAAACGATAAACTGTTTATTTGAGTTGTAATAACGAAATTGAACTATTTATTGTTGATTTATCTTGTTTGTGTTTGATTTTTTGCTTGTGTTTGAAATACATATGTTGTTTGTGCAAGAGTCGTGCGTGCTACATTTTTTCGCGCTGCTGGAGCTGCGCGCGCTACATTTTAGCGTCGTTGCTGGAGCCAGCGTTGCCTGGCAATTTTAGCGTCGCTGCTGGAGCCAACGTTGCCTGCCGTGCCAAATCAGACGATGGGTGCGCGGTAAAATAGTTTTTAGCGTACGGCGTATTCGGCGGTTGTTGGAGATGCTCTAAGCAAAAGATACCGCGCATTGCATCGATACACTTTTTAAGGCTCATCAACAGTACATCGAAGAAACCACGACAGTCGACAGTGAAATTAACCAAAAGTACATACACTGAAATGGATTAACCATATGAAGCTTTTGACAAAATATAGGGATACCCATATGCTGAATCAGTCTTGGCTCAGTCGTCGGCATCGGAATCCGCTTGACAGGACCGGAGAAGGTCAGAGAAGGACATCTCACCGGAGCGGAGCTTCTCAAGGATGCGGCCTTCCTCCACGACCTGGGTCACCTGACCAGACTGCATGTTGAAAGTGTAGATGGAGAGCAGCTGGATGATGGTGAACGGGTGCGCGGTCATAGGATGGCACAGGAAGGCCGGCAGGTCCAGGTTCACGGACGGCGCGTCGTCTCCGCCTGCAGCGCTCATCACCACGCTCTCACGTTGCTCCCCGTCGTTCAGGCGGTACATGTCGGTCGACTCCGAGCCCAGACGATCCGTGAAGTACACGCAGTTGGCTTCGATGGACGGGAACTTGTCGGCGTCGAGGCAGACGCACCTGTGACAGCCGCCGGCGAAGATGGCGCGGCTGCCGATGCTCTTGATGCGCTCCAGCGTGCTTGCGGCCGTGTCCATCTTGAAGACCTCCACGCGGCTCTCGAGCTTGAAGACGACCAGCGTTTCCCCGGCGGACTCCACCACGAAGCAGCGCTTCCAGGAGGCGGTGTCGATCCCCTCGGCGGGCACGTCGGTAGGCACGTCGTTGAACGGGCTCATCAGATCGGCGATCTTGGCGACCACCGCGGCCGGGAGCGGCGGCAGATGCCCCTGGTGGCCGTCGACGGCGAGGAGGCCCTGGACGGCCTTCCTGACCAGAGGGTACGCGTACCTCTTCTTGTACCTGACGAACTCCTTGCTGTCGGGGCTGGCCCGGTAGAGCTTCATGGAGTCCTGGCAGTAGAGGACGAGGTAGGGCGGGGACGAGCCGGAGACGGCGGCGGCGAGCACGTGGGCGTGCATGCGGGCCGCGAAGCGGACCATGTGGCCGGTGAAGGGGTGGAGCACGCAGGCGGCGTGGGGCGGGTCCCTGGCGGCCAGCACGAGCAGCCCGTCGGCGGTGACGGAGACGACGAAGTAGGCGCCGAGGATGGGCATGCGCCGGCCGTGGAAGCGGCCCGTGGCGGTGTTGACGAGGAGGCGCGCGTCGACGCCGTGGGACGGGTAGTCGAGCATGACCCAGCCGCGCGGCCGGAAGCGCGGGTCCAGCGTGCGCCCCGGGTCGGCGGTCGCCGCGCGCCAGCTGTGGCAGACGGCGCGGAGCGCCATGTAGCAGTCGACGTCGGCGGTGTCGAGAAGCAGGTTGGCGACGCGGTCGACCAGCTCCGGCATCAGCGACGCCCACCGCTGGGCCTCCCTCTCCTCCATGGCGGCGCTCCGGCGGGAGGGAGGCGTGCGGTCGCGGAGGTTTCCAGATCTGGGAGCGTGGATCAGTGTGCCACACGTGAAGCATTCACGCGGGTGGTCAAGGCTCGAGGACCGCGGGTTCATGGGCCGGGCCGGCGGTGGGCGGTGGATGGGCTGGTGGGCTTGGGCCAGGGTGGGAGCGAGTGGGCTGGGTCCACGGCGACCTAGACCTCGGCCGACACGTCGCCTGGGATCGATCGACATTCGACACAGCGGCCGTCACTGTCGCTGTCGCAGAGGAGGGGAGGGGGGTTCCGTCCGGTCGTGCTCGCGTCCGGTCCGGGGGAAAAGGGCGGAGCTGCGAGGAGAGAGAGGCCCTCGCCGGCCGGCATGCAGAACGCCGTGCTGGCGTGCCCCGCGCCGTCCGGCGGAGGCGCGGGAGGAGACGGCGGGGTCGGGGGCGCAGGCGTCGTGATGGTGAAGCGCGCGGCCCTGGTGGCGTGCCTCACCTGCCCGCTCTGCCGCCGCCTGCTCCGCGACGCCGCCACCATCACCGAGTGCCTCCACACCTGTGAGTCCCCCACCGCTCCCGCTCCCTCCATCCCCGTCTCCGCGTCTGCGACCGTAGCGCGCTGTGGCCGAGTTATAGCGTGCAAGGCGGCCGCTTGCTCCGGCCGTTCCGTGCGTCGAATCTGCGCCCGCCGCGGTGATCCCTGGCCCCGGCGCGTCTGAGGCGATGCCTCGAAAGGTGGCGGCGTGCGTCCATACTTTCCCACGCCCTGCGATTTGTGTGCGGTTCTGGCTGCTGCGTGTGGAAGCTGAATGCGTTGGCTGTCTCGTCAGAGAATTTGCAATTTCTTTGTCATCCGTATCATTGAATGGGTTATTATAGAGGTCATATGCAAGAGGTGTGCTCGTCTGAATGTCTGATGTCGAAAGGTGGTAGCTTCTATATATACATACTCTGTTAGCTTGTCGCAGAGAGGCTAACTTCTGCCAATTCCCCAGGACCGCAAGTATGGGTTTGCTGCTCATGCTTTTTGCGAGTGTTTCGCCCATTCAGGAGATAACATGAGTGATTTGGTGCTTGAATGACAGCGAGATTTTGAGCATGGGCAGTGATCCAAGTGAAATCAGATGCATTATGGTTTGCCAGGAGGCTGTAGGCAACTTGTTTGTGATAGCAAAGGGACTCATGCTTGGTGTGATCAACCCTTCAGCTAGCATTTTGCTCACTTGCTTCTCAGTCTCACCTTTTGCAGAGGAGGGTATCTGTAAGGTCTACAATTTACTGGAGTGGCTCCTGGAATAAGGTGGACGGTATGGTCTAGCGCTCTGACAGGAGGCAGGCCTGTTGGTTCTTGGAACACATTAGAGAAGGATTGCAACAGTTGCTGTACTTCTGCAGGAGGCTCTTCTGGTTGGGTCTTGTCTTGTGGAAATAAAATAGCAGTGGCCCATATGTCATTCCCTTTGTAACATTTGACAACCTGATCCATAGACATTTCCCTCAGATCAGACTGTTGGCTAGTTTGAATTCCCTGCAGTTTGACCATCTTTTCTTGGCACTGAAACTCAATCCACTTTTCCTTCCAATGGCAGGTCATGGGACCCCATTGTTCCAACCAATCCATGCCCAAAATAATGTCATAGCCTCCCGGCTCCACCACTTTAGCAGCATAAGTAAAGGTTTTGCCCTGTAACCACTAAGTTAGAGCAGGAACTTCAGATGAACATGCAAGAGTTTCCCCATTAGCCACCTTGACAGTTAAAGGAGTGGATAACTGTTTGGTCTCTGCTGCTATTCTAGGCACAACAGCTGGATCAATAAAACTATGTGTACTGCCAGAATCTAACAGGATAGCACCACTTTTACCCAATAGAGCTCTGAATCTGATTGTTTTTGGGTGCTCAGCTCCTGACAGGGCATTAACAGACAGCAACAGTTCCTCAATGGCTTCTTGCACTGCTAGAGCATCTAATATGTTATCAGATATCTGTGCATTGTCTTGTTGATCTGTGGTGATGGCCATAGCTTAGGTTGGACCAGCTGGCTTCTGCACACAAACATGCCCTGGAGCAAATTTTTCTCCACAGCCAAAAAGATAACCCATTTGCCCTTCTGTACTCCTTCAACTGCCTTGCCTTCCACAATGCTCCAGACCCAGTGCTTATTCTGTTCTCTGGTTCGCTGAAGGTTTGCTTTAGACTGAAATTTGCTGTTTTTTTGTCTAGCCAATGTGGCTTCCTGCACCGTTGCAAAAGCTGCTGCAGCAGCTATGGTGATGGGAAATTGTATCTCTTAAGCTCCCTTGAGCTCCTCCTTAAGCCCTAACATAAATCTGGTTACCAAAAATGTGTCACTAACTGCTCACTCATATAGCTTGACCTGATACACTAATTGCAGGAACTCCCTTTTGTACTCCTCAACAGTTCCCTTCTGTTTCAGAAGAAGCAGGGCCCTCATTGTTTCTCTATGCACATTCACATCAAATTTTGCGAGCGTCTCACGCGATGCGTGGAGAGGTGGCGGCGTGCGTCGATACTTTCCCACGCGCTGCGATTTGTGTGTGGTTCTGGGTGCTAAAAGTGTGGAAGGTGGATGCGTTGGCTGTCTCCTCAGAGGATTGGCGTTTTCGTTGTCATTTGCATCATTGTATGGGTATTATAGAGGATATATGCAACAGGTATGCTTGTCTGAATGCCTGATGTGGAAAGGTGGTAGCTTCAGTATATACATGCTCTGTTAGCTTGTCTCGGAGAGGCTAACTTCTAATTCCCCAGGACCACAAGTATTGGTTTTCTGCTCATGCTTTTTGTGAGTGTTTCGCCCATTCAGGAGATAACATTAGTGATTGGGCGCTCGAATGGCAGTGAGATTTTGAGCATGGCCAGTGATCCAAGTGAAATCAGATGAATTATGGTTTGCCAGGAGGCTGTAGGCAACTTGTTTCAGACTTAATAGTTACTTCAATGGTTGCTAGGGATTTGTGGTTGTAGGAGGCCTTGGTGCTGTTTTTGTGTTTGTAGGTAATGAGCCTGTTGGGGCACCGGAAAGGGTTAAAAAATTTAGCCAACAAACCGATGTCGTAGGTACATTTCATTAAATAAACCTGCTTAAGTTTGAAATGCGTAGTTTTCTCTGTCATATAATTTTTTCTATCGTTAATAAAAAAGAGGAGACAGTGAGATCACCAGCTAACTGTACATAAAGTCACTGGAAATGTAGAAAGATTGTGATTGGTGGATCCACTATGGCATCTTCAACTTCATTAGTTGTCAGGAAAAAATAATTAGGCTGGTTAGGTGTAGACGAGACCATTTGATTGTCATGAAATTAGTTTCACAATAATAATTTCTTTGTAATACTCCCTCCGTCCGGAAATACTTGTCGGAGAAATGGATATATTTTTATCCATTTCTCCGACAAGTATTTCCGGACGGAGGGAGTATTTCCTTAAAAGCTAATGGTTAAAATTGTGTATTGGAGATTGCAAAGCAGTTCGTCATCTATCTTTGGAAAGGAGCGAGAATTTTCAGTTATTCTTCTCTGATTTCTGTGTGTTTGAGCCTATTAAGGTTACTGTGAAAAACAGCCCTTCAGAAATTATCTGTAAAATCTTAATTGGTTCTTCCATTTTTGTGCTTCAACCATTGATTTATACCTTTGATCAGTTTGCAGAAAGTGCATATCTAAGGAGTTCATCGATAAGGAGATCTGCTACTGCCCTACTTGCAACATTGATTTAGGCTGTGCTCCAGAGGAGAAACTCAGGTTTGTCACAACCTACATATCACAAGCAGACGTTATTGTCTGTTTTTTAATAAACAACTTAAGCTTATGGTTCATGTCAATCAATTTTCTGTTCAGAGTTGATCACAGCCTACAATATGTGAGGTCAAAGATATTTCCTTCTAAAAGACGGAAGGTTGTGGACCAAGAAGCCATATCACCGGTCGAATCACCTGTCAAGAGAAAAGAAAGATCTCTATCTTCACTGTCAGTCCATGGTCCTCGGGTGTCTATACAGAAATGCCTCACAAAGAGGAGAACAAAAGCTTCGTGCTTACGCAGCTTGTCTTTGGTATGTAGCTTTTGTTTTAATCTGAAGGCTGTAATTTCGTAGCAGCACTATGTGACTACTTTGGGGCTAAAACATATCGGTTGACTTTATTCTATTGGGCACATCTTGGTTCTGAGCACTTCTTTATACATTGTATGTCTGGTATGCTAAATGAATAGAGCAAGAGGTCCTTTGATCCTTTGTTTGTTTGGTACCTGAAGTGTTTATGTGCATTTGAGGTTTCTTGTTTAATCATATAGGTCGTAATTGAGTAGCATCAACATCGACTGTGCAAGGGATCATACAAACATCGATTTAGTTGACTCTTTTCAATCAACCATGGTGAGATTTACGGTGTGTACACATGCACGTATCGGCTGGTGACATTAGGATAGTTGCACAACACGGTCTTTGTGTTTGTCTTGAACTCTTATTTGTTTTCTATACACATATGATGCACAGTGCCGTTAAAATTTGTGTTCGAACCTTAATGTCATTTATGAATGCATCAAATGCAATAACTGTTTGTGAGGAAGTATTGTCCACACCCTTCAGACCCTGCAATGTATGTATTGGTCAATGTTTGTTTGGGTTTCACTCTTTTTGAATGTATAAGTCATATCTGGTTAGTTATTCTTTTCGTGCTTTACATGATTTATATGCAGTATTCTACCTTGCAGGGCAATAAAGATGCAACAAAGAAAGTTGGAGGATGGAAACCTTTGGCCTCTCATATTAGAGTTGGTAAAAGTAAAAAATCTCTCAAATCAGGTTCCGAAGAGGACAATAGAACTGGAATCAAGTCTGATGATCCAGAGCATGGTGCTCCTTCCAATGAAGCAAAGGCTAGCCTCTTGAAACGCTTGTTGGAGTCTAAGGAACACCTGACAAAAAAGGAGAATCTAGTGAAGAAGACTGGAAGCAAGAAAGTGTTCACTCTGAAGGGGAAAAAGAAAATATTCAAGGCAAAACAACCTAGGAAAAAGAGAAGATTGCGAGCATTATGGTTCTATCTAGTGGCTGCTTTTGACCAGTAAGAAGCACTAGACTTATCTTACGACGTTTATTGTACTTTTTAAAGGAAACACAGAAATCATGCTTTTGTGTTTTCATTTGTTTCAGGAAGGGACAACCTCCTTTACCACAGCTACCTACGAAATTTTTGAGGATCAAGTGAGTTATCCAGGCTACTGTTTCATGTACAAACACAATATGTTAAGTTTGCGCTAACTTGCGCCTTTATCACATTGACCTAGGGATGTTGAATTGCCTGCTTCCTTCATACAAAAGTACCTTGTGCAGAAACTCAATCTTTCAAGTGAAGCTGAGGTATGTTTTCCCTTCTCCCAGTGTCAGTGATAAGCTAGACCTGAGAGAAAACTCAAATTATTGTTCCCAGCTTGGAGTCCGAATTTGTGTCGGACATCCTTTTGCCTCTTTTGACCCTTCCCTGGACCCTGCGCAAGCGGGAGCTACATGCACCAGGTTGCCCTTTTTTATCCTTTTGCCTCTTTTGGGCGTAATCACAAATCCCATTTATAGAATGAGAGAAGCATTTTCTCGGTTCATCAAAACCTCCTATCAAGTGATAGCTTTCAATATTTTTCATATGTATCGACCTATGGTGTGCTTGCAGGTGGAGTTGATGTGCGCTGGCAAGAAAGTGGACCCAGCAATCACCCTGCATGACATAACGGACTGCTATCTGGACAAAGGACCGAACGGTTGGGTGCGGTCGTCCGTGGGCTCCCCTGCCACCGGGTTCATCACAACGGTGTTCTACAGCAGGCCAGAGCTGCCCACACCCCCAACACCACCGCCACCACCTGAAAGTCACCATGGAGCGCCGCCTCATGTCTGAACCAGTTCGGCCTCACTCCAGTCGTCTATTTCGGAGCCCTCTGGTTGGTGCCACATTGATGCCAACCTCGTGAGGCTCAGCTCGGCTCACCTCGCCTTGTGATATGTAGATAGATGTTCGGTCACATGCCTTGCGGGGATTCTGATTTGATCTGTTGTTCTTTACCATTTTTCTTTACCTTGACGGAGTAGCTGTACCTATGCGGTTTGTAATCCTGTGTTGAGTTGTTCAGTGCTGCTGTAACTGGACTTGAAGCCTTTATGGTGTGCCTCTGTAATGTTTGTAGCACTATTTTTTACTGTAAGCTCTTGTACAAGTTGTCGTCGAACCGGAAATTTGGTTATATATGGAGTAGTGTATGGAGTACTGATATTGACTGATGGATACTGTGTTGCAAGTTACAAGTAATTTCTTTGGCCTTGTATCTCCAAATGGCCAATTTGTTGGCTGATGTCTTTTTAATGCATGACCTTGCATTTAAATAACTACTCTAGTATACATAGAGCTAAATTGCTCTCCAATAAAGACATTACATAAGGCACAGGGCGGATACATCTGGCATATGGAAGCTGGACTGTTTATTATCCTATTGCTGCCCCATTGCTGAAACCTGAAAGGGCATGCGCAACATCATTACATGTTCTTGCACAGTACATGACTTTGAAATTCAGAAAGTGAAGTCTAGCAAAAGTCTTCACATCTTGAAAAATCGCGACGAAGTACAGCTTTCAGCCTCCATACCCTGCTTCAACTCCATATCATCAGTTTCCAGGAGCACCTTTGCCCATTCCCAACCCGCTGGCGATCGGAAGTGCTTCACCCGCAGCCTGAAACTCATATTTCCAGGAACTCCGCTGTCTTGTGTTTGATCATCATCCACACTACTTCTCCAGAATTTTTTTTGCCTTCCCCACTTCTCTGATTTTGTTGAGTTCATTCCACCATGTCCACATCAACAACACTATAATGCAAATTCTGTCCTCCTCCATGCTGCAGATTCCTTCCATTCCATCAGACCATCGCCTCTCTAGCATTAATTTACTTTGGAGCTAGGGATCCCCCTTTGTTCTTCCAATCCACATTCTCTCCACACTTGCTTCACTAATTTGAACTTGAAAAACAGATGCCCGCGGTCTTCGAAATCCCTGTTGCACAGGAAACATGTTGGGTTCATATCCATCTTTGTTTGGAACAGTTAACTTTCCAGATACATGGCCAAGGTGGAGGCTTTTCTGCAACACTAGAGCTAGAGGGGCTCCCAGTATCACGATTAAGGTTTATCTTCATTATAGAGCCTGTAAGCAGATTTCACCGAGAATATATTGCCCCCATTTGTCATAGTGCTGAGCAAGCGAGCCTTCAAAATTCTCCCGCAAAGGAACTTATTTTATCACTTAAGAGATCATTCTTTTTTACCCAGCAAAACATGCATACGGAATATTTCCATTTCAGCACACGACGCATACACAATCAAGATCTCTCTAGTTCAGAATAAGATCACCTGAATGACAGTATATATATATTATATATAACCTTATATCACCCTACATACAGTACATGATAAATCCCCCACCCTTCCGGACTGAATTCCGGAACCAGTTTATCACAAAGAGAAAAAGGAATCAAATGCCAGGAGAGAATCATCCTCCTATACCAATCTGTACACCCAACTTCTTCTGTCCAGGCATGCGGCTCCAGTCCAGGTAGCTAGAGCTTATCGGCGATCCTGCCAAGAGCATCGGCGAGCCTGCCGAGCACCACGGCGAGGCTGTTGGCCTGCTCTCTCCTCTCCTCGCGGTCGCGCTCCGAGTTCATGTTCTGCGCCTCCAGCTGCGCCGTCATGATCTGGCTGTTCCGCTCTAGGATCTCCAGCAGCTTGTCTGCTATGCCTTCTGCTCTGGGCTCACTGTCGTTGCCGGTTCGCTGTCTCTTCTGCCCGCTCTGCTGCAGAGTCGGTGAGCCTCCTGTCTTGGTGCTGCCTTGATGCCCTCCTTGCCTGTCTTTTGTTGTGCCTTGCTGTGCGCTCTGTTGCCTTGATGCCTCCGAATTCTCGGAAATCGGCAAGGCGATGACCGCCGGCGGTGGTGCCGGCGTCGCCTCTGGCGTCTCAGCATCTTCCTCCTCCGAGAAGAGGACCTCCTCCCCGGCGGGCCGGCCACTGTCAAACACGGTCTCCACTGCCACTGCCACTGCCACCTCCTTCCCCTTCCCTCTCTCCCCTTCCTCCTCCCCCGTCTCCTCATCATCATCCTCCTCCATGCGCACCACCCCTACTTCCTCCACGGCGGCACCACCACCGGAGCTGCTGCCGGCGACGACCCCCCGACCTCGACCTTCGAGTATGCCGTACACCTCGCGGTCGAAGAAGCCAGGGAGCCGGCGCTCCCGCCTCGCGTCGTTGCGCATGGCCCAGAACGAGGGCTCCCGCGCGCCGGCGGCCGCCCGCTCCCACTCCTTTATCTTCTTCCAGTCCCCAGCGAGGTTGCTCCACCGCTTCCGGCACTGCACGGCCCCCCTCTCCACGCCATGCCGCCGGCAGTACTCCGCGACGGCGGCCCACTTGGGCTCCAGCGCCGCCGCCGCCCCCTCCCCGGTTGCCCCGGCCGCCGCCGCCGCCGCCAGGCGCCCCCTCCCGCCGCGCACGCCGCCGCGGACTTCAACCATGCGCTTGCCCTCGATGAGCACCAGTATCTCCTGCCGCGTCCAGCGGGGCAGCCTCGGGGCGCGCACCGACGGGTTGGGCGCCGCCGCGGCCGCCGCACCGGCGGGGTCGCCGGCGCTGGACATGAGGGGAACGGAGTGGGGAACGCGTGATTTGGTGGGCGCAAGTTTCTTTTAGGGATTGTGGGCGGAAGTCGATTTGACGGCGTGGAAGCGGGTGGTGTTTTTTCTTTTTCCTTTTGAGCGAATGAGCGAATGAAGCGGGTGGTGTAAAAGGGTCACGTGGGCCGGACCGGCTGTAAAAGGGCCTGACATGGCACGGCCCGTGTCGGCCCTTTCATAAAGAAAGAAGTATAGTTTTCACCCTCAAATCCTGTCCAATGTCTCCGTAACCCCCCAAAGTCGATTTTGGTCTGATTTAGACCCCAAAAATGTCAATACCGGTTTAATCTCCCCCTGAATGGTTTAGTGTCACATCAAGAGTGGTTTTGCATCTGATTTTGCGATTAGGCACTGATTTGTCACTGACGTGGCGTGCTTATATGGCAGCTGGTCGCTGAAATAAGTGGGCGTTCGTCTTCGTCATGTTTCGCCTTCCTAGTGCAGACAGGAAACCGGAAAGGCCGCAGCGCCGCCATCCACACCTACTGCAACTGCGTCCCCGTCGTCGCCGGCGGCGGCCACCGTCTCTCTCACTTGACGTCACCTTAGCATGGGATAGAGGAAGCGCGCGGTCTGTCGTATTCCGTGGTTAGGGCTACGCTGCCCTCAATCGTCGCGAGTCCATCTTTGTCAGAATCAAGCGATGGCTTCAGGTATGCTTACCGTAGTAATGTTCGTGTTAAGGACGAGGCTTGATTGCATCATGTGTTCGTGATAGCTCTGTTGTTTTGATATTAAAATGGGCTAATTTGCAGATGGCCGGCCTGTTAATTTCAGAAATAAAGTAGATGAATTTGCATTGTGCTTGTACTGATGATTGTCTTATAGAAACAGAACGTGCAGATGACTGGCCTGTTAATTTCAGAAATAAAGTAGATGAATTTGCATTGTGCTTGTAGTGATGATTGTTTTATAGAAACAGAACGTGACGTTTTTGACCGAATTTGACTGCTGAAGAGTGTTAACTCTGAATTTTGACTGTTGTTTTAGTATACAGTATAAATACTCTGAATTTTGACAGCATTTGTACAGAACTTTTACTGTAATTTTAGTACTGCAGTATAACTAGTCTGAATTTGGACTGAATTCAGAGTAGTTTTAGTAGTTTTGAGTACAGTTTTGACTGCAGTTTCAATAGTGCAGTTGCATTTGACTACAGTTTTAGTAGTTTTGACTGTATTTTCAGTAGTTTTAGTAGTTTTGACTGCAGCTTCAAGTTTTGTACATGTCATTTATCTTCATGTACGTGTACACATGCTTGGTGTCATGGTTGTATATTTTTATTTTCTTGGTGCCATCTATTGTAACGTGATGTACTTTCGGGGTTTATCCCCGCTATTCTGGGAATATAATGAGGGTTTTAGTTTACCCAATTAAACTAGTGTATTTGGACAGAATATGGACTGAATTATGATTGCATTTGTTTACTCTGTAAGTATAACTGAGAAGAAATTTCATTCATTTTGCAGCTCGTTTGGATCTGCGAGATCCACTTGATTACTTGTTGACCAGATATCATTAAGCCGGCTCATTTGAGAGGAAAAATGGACAGGTTGACTACTCAGGAGAACTAGAGGCAGAGGTGTTTATGCTCAGTTATGCAGAATTGTGTGCTTACGCTGAGGAATTTTTTTTCTGAAAAATTCAATCTTCTGAACATCCTACAGACATTTTCTTATAAATTCTCAGCATGAAGCACTACTCATGTGAATTACAACAGGCACTACTCACGTCTAAATCTTGCTAATTTTATCTGCAAGTCTTCTACTACTTAAGGACCTAATTCTACTACTGCTGCGCAGGGCCGTCTTCAGAAATTCGGGGCCCCGGTGCGAAAAGCAAAATGGGGCCCTAACATTTGAAAAAAAATCATAACATATAACTCAAGCATAATCACTTAATTATACAATTTATAATTATGTTATTTAGTAGTACAATCTTTAGAAAATTCTCAACTAGCAATGCAAATTCTTACAACAAATTTATCAAGAGCACCCCTTTGAGATTGATCATCTTCTTCTAATTACTGTTTCTTCTTACGCTTTAAGGCACAAAATCATACTTTCTTCTAAAACTAGAATGCAAGATTGTTTCTGTTTATGAACCAAACAAAAAAATATTAATGCATTTGAACTGGTAAACTCATATGAATTATAGGCTTGTGACTTGAACAGTAA